CTGCCCATTCATGCATATATGTTGTTGTTTAGTCGTGTCCGACTCTTCGTGACCCCATGGACCAGAGCACGCCAGGCACTCCTGTCTTCCACTGCCTCCCACAGTTTGGTCAAACTCATGCTGGTAGCTTCGAGAACACTGTCCAACCATCTCGTCCTCTGTCGTCCCCTTCTCCTTGTGCCACCATCTTTCCCAACATCAGGGTCTTTTCCAGGGAGTCTTCTCTTCTCATGAGGTGGCCAAAGTACAGTGGTGCCTCGCAAGACGAAATTAATTCGTTCTGCGAATTTTTTCGTCTTGCGAATTTTTCGTCTTTTGAAGCACGGTTTCCCATAGGAATGCATTGAAAATCCAAAAGGAAACAAACTTGCAAGACGTTTTCGTCTTGTGAAGCAAGCCCATAGGGAAATTCGTCTTGCGAAGCAACTCAAAAAACGAAAAACATTTTCGTCTTGCGAGTTTTTCGTCTTGCGAGGCATTCGTCTTGCGAGGTACCACTGTATTGGAGCCTCAGCTTCAGGATCTGTCCTTCCAGTGAGCACTCAGGGCTGATTTCCTTCAGAATGGATAGGTTTGATCTTCTTGCAGTCCATGGGACTCTCAAGAGTCTCCTCCAGCACCATAATTCAAAAGCATCAATTCTTCGGTGAACAGCCTTCTTTATGGTCCAGCTCTCACTTCCATACATCACTACTGGGAAAACCATAGCTTTAACTATACGGACCTTTGTTGGCAAGGTGATGTCATGCATATATACCAAGATGTTAAAGATGATGCTGTTGTGGCCTGCAGACTGAAAACAAAGGATGGCTTAACTTAGTGGGGAACTATGCAATGCACACATCTTCCCCAACCCTCGAGCCAGTATATGTCTCTTGCCCTAAATCTGGTACCTCTTTTTAACTGATGGTCGTTTATTCCGCTTTCGGGGTTCTCTCTTGCCATACTCTCTTTGGGAAGGGAAGGAAGGTCTCCAAGCAGGATTTCTCTTAATCTCTGACCTACTGAGAGCACGTTGCCGGTGTTTGGTTTTGGCGAGTGGGTGATGGTTGCACAAACAGTCCAATAAAAACACCGTCCGTTGACTCTGTACAGGTTTTATGAGTCTAGCAAGTTACCCAAGTCTGGAGAGCCTTGTGGCACGTTTACATTAGTACTGCTTTTCACCCACTTAATCCAGTGCCTTGCTATCTACAAAGGTGTTCATTATAACCTCTCTCTAGTGCTGTCTTCAGTGGCTAATGAGATTTTTGGAAGCTGGGACAGGGAGCCATAAAAGGGGGGGGGAGTATTGTTCCTTGGGATTTAATAGTTCACACTAGCTATTACTAGCAGCTTCGTCCCCAGGGTTGCTTGGGAATTCTAAGAAGCCAAAACAAAACAAAAACCCAGCTTTGAAACCAGTGGTTAAAATCAGTGCAGTTCTGAAAGATTCACCATCTTTATTCAAAATGGCATCCGGCTGCATCCAAACATAGACTTGTTCTCAGGGAACATTGTGCCAAATTTCTGAAATCTTAAGAGGTGTCCAAATGCATAGGAAAGACATAAATAACTTTCTGAAAGATAGTAGTAGATGGATAAATGGGGTGTGTATAATTTATTAGACGTTTGTTTGTTTGCCCCAGTGCTCTCCCTGCGAAAACTGCTCTTTACTGCTAAATCAGAGCAAATAGCAATCCCCAGAAAACCCGAATTGCCATTTGTTCCAATGTATCATCCTAAAACCGGTTTGAAGTTCATATTGTGATACCGGTTTCATAATTTTTGACCTGGCGATTTATCACTAATCATGATGTGTGTGTGTGCTGTGCAAAAAATCGCAATGTGGGAAAAACCATGAAGCCAGCTAATGCCTCTACGTAGCTCCATATTTCAGACATCGTGATAATATCAGTATATTGTGATGTTTAGCTGGTGGTATATAACGATGTTGAAAACTAAATATTGCCAAGCCCTAGTTCCAATTCAGCGTTAAAGAGCAGGTTTTCCTGAGGAAAGGGGGGGTGAGGGAAACCCCTGAGACAGAGTTTTAAAGCATGGACCCATGCCTAGAAAAAGTGGGGCAAAAGGTAAGTGGGGCTGGGCCTATAAACTCTCAAGGCCCAGTCAGGTCAGCTTCGATACAAGTGATGAGAAATCCTTTGTCTCAGGTAGCAAAATCCCTTAGGGACACCATGCATTTAAAGCAGTATCACTTTAAACAGTCATGGCGTCTCCCAAAGAATGCTGGGAGATGTAGTCTGTTAAGGGTTGCTGAGAGTTGCTAGAAGACCATTCCTCCCTTCACAGAGATATATTTTCCAGAGTTCTTTTAGCAATCAATCCCTCTTCAACGGGAATTCTAGAAATTGCAGCTCTGTGTGGGGAATAGGGGGTCTGCTGACAACTTTCAGCACCCTTAAGAGACTCTTGGTCCCAGAATTATTATTCGGTACAAAATCACTAGGCAGAGAGAGTTCAAAATGTGTGAGAGAGTGAGAAGCGGGGGGGAATTGCACACTTTGATTCATTTAAAAATAACATAAAGAGCAGCTTTTGCAAAATCGATGTCCTTCAGATGTTTTAAATATAATGGCCAGCTGTGGTCCCAAACATCTGGAAGGGGCACCAGGCTGGTAAAGATGGCCGTGCCAGTTTTCTGGGCCTAAGTTCAGTCCTTGTTAACTCAAGAAATGGCAAATGTTTGCAAGAAACTCTTGAAACGGTGGGTGTTCCTCTTATAACTGAAAAATCCTGAAGAGTCTGCAGAATTAGGGCTAAGGGGAGATAAATTGGTGTTGGGGTAGGGGAGAGGGGAGAGGCAGAGGAGTTGAAGCAGAAGATTTTGGGGCATGATGGCCGATCGAAGGCCTTGTTTAGTGTATAAGAGAACCATAACGTCAGTGGCATGAAACCCTGATTTGTGCATACAAACCCAAGTTCAACAGCCCCTTCAGTGGTATGTCAAGGTAGCACATGTCTGCAACTTCTCCCTCAGCAGCACATTCCTATAATCCCCTCAAAATGCAGCCCTTGGAGAATATGCTGCATCAAGGACCACGTTGAAATAGGTTTGGTAAGGTAGATAATAGCCCCTTGCTCCAACTCCCAAGTCGTTTTCCTTCCCTGAGACTCACGATGGGTTATTTTGCTGATTTTATAGCAATATTGGACTGGTTTCTTAGACAGTCATCTCTTATTTCTCTCTGTCTCTCTCTTCTCTTCTCTTATTTTTTTTTTGAATGGACGTTTCGATTTTGATTGCAATTTTTTAATTGCATTTAACAGTGATCCCCCGCTGGTTCTTCCTTCAGCATCTCTACCAGCTACGTTCTATTGATGGCCTGTTGTGATTTCAATGGAACATCCTGGGAGGGACCTGGCACGACGGGCACCATTGGAAGGAGGTGCCTTTTAGCCCAATGTACCTGGCATGGTAAGCGGCAACAAAGCAGGGTTTGCCTGCTATTCTTAAATGCTCGGGGGCTCGACTCACGCAGCAAGGGGGCCTCCTTCCTTCTTCCTCCCTCTCTCTCTCTCTCCCTCCACCCCACACCCCGCTTCTTTGACGCAGCTTTTGCACCAATTAGCCCTGCTTCTTCCTCTCTTTCCCCTTGGCATGCCCTTGCTTCACCTGAGTGAAGGTCTCAAGGCTTTGTTGAGCTTCTGTCTGCCCTCCCTGAGCCCCCCATGTGTCGTGGGGCCTCCTTCCATTGAGATGCTCCTTTGTTCCATTTGCATAGCGCTTCCATGTGTCGTTGGCTTGCTGTTCGTCTGTTCAGAGTGGGATGGGGAAACCTTTTTTTTCCAGCGTTCCCTTCTGAGCAGCCTTCCAAGGCCCACATTGCCGGCGGTGAACGGGGCCAGGGGCAAAAGTGAGCATCTGCTTTACCTCTGTGCAGTAGGATAGTTTCTACACCAGTGTTTATCAAACTTGGGTCCCCGGCTATTGTTGGACTACAACACCCATCATCCCTAGCAGGACCAGTGGTCAGGGATGATGGGAGTTGTAGTCCAACAGCAGCCGGGGATCCCAAGTTTGAGAAACACTGTTCTGCACCCTCTAACACACCCCTCTCTATCCCACATCCATAGTGCTCAGCCCAGCCTAGCTTCATGCATTCTCACAGTTTAGGGGTGTTAGAACAATAAAACAATGAGATAAAACAATAAATTAAAACAACAAAATGAAGCACTAAAAGGAGTTAAGAAATAAAATGGAAGAGAGGATAAAAACAAATGCTAAGGGTTGGTTATAGAGCAGGAATTTGCTTCAGAGTTGGCCTTAGAGCTCAAAACCCCCATCCAGACAAGCAAAAAATGCCACAGTTCCAAGAGCACACTCCAGTCACCCCACAAAAGCTTAAGGGGGCTGTGAAGCAGAGCCAGTGAGGGGTACGGCCTGGAGAGAGTTCCAAGGGCCACATTGAGAGACCTGGAGAGCTGCATTTGGCCCCCGGAGCCTGAGGTTCCCCACCTCTGTTGTAGAGCAGATGGTGATCAGATGTCAAGCTTCCAGGATCTACTTTGTTTTTACTCATGATGCAAAACAGGCTCAGGTGTGCGTTTACATGTTAAGGTCCACAGTGCCTACTTAGCTCAGGAACTTGTTTTGGGGTATAGCTGTCAACCTCCCCTTTTTTTGCGGGAAATCCCCTTATTCCAGCGCTGCTTCCCGCTGCTATCCCAGATTGTTAGATATCCTGCAGACTGTCCCCGGGACAGGTGAGGCTGCTGATCCCTTATTTTCAAATCTGAAAGTTGACAGCTATGTTTTGGGGGTATGAACTGAGCTCACAGTTCCTTCCACATGCTCATCTACTCCTTCTTCCGCAACCACAAATGGTATTCAACCAAGTTTTACTCAGAAGAGACCCATTTGAAAATAGTGGGCCTAACTTAGGCCACCTTCACACCATACATTGAAAGCGCTGTGATGCCACTTTAAATAGTCTTGGCTTCCCCCTCCCAAAGAATTCTGGGAGTTGTAGTTTGTTAAACATGCTGAGAGTTGCTAGGAGACCCCTATTTCCCTCACAGAGCTACAATTCACAGAGTTCCCATTGAATGGGATTATTAATCCACTTGTAAGAATTGTAGCTTTTGTGAGGGGAATAGGGATCTCCTAGCAACTCTCGGCACCCTTAACAAACTACAGCTCCCAGAATTTTTGCAGGAAGCCGTGACTGTTCAAAGTGGTATGAAAAAGGCCCTTAGCAGCGCTGGATTACCCAATGAGCAAGATTAAGCAAGTGCTCAGGGCACCAGCAAAGCACGGGCACGAAAGAAGGGCTTTTTAATACATATTTTTAAGGATTTGACATTTGTTATTTCAAAAAGAAGCATCAAAATAGTCCTCATGGGGAAAATCAGAACTATTTTTAGACTTCCACTACACAATTTTATTTTATGGGTTAGTATTGTTTTTATTTCAAATTACTTGAGGGGGCATTATAATCCTATCAGTGCATAGGGGCTCTAAAGGTCTTAAATCTGGATGTGGGCCTTAGCCATGTTCATTATTTTCAATGGGTCTACTCTGAATAAAGCAGCCCAGATCAACATGTTCAGGGTAAACCATTAACTATGCTTTGCAATGTGCAAACTGGGCCAGCATGTCTCTTAATCCCATTGCATTTTTAGTACAGTCATACTTCGGGTTAAATACGCTTCGAGTTGAGCGCGTTCAAGTTGCGCTCCTCGGCAACCCAGAAGTAAAGGAGCGCATTACCTCTGGGTTTCGCCGCTTGCGCATGCGCGGATGCTCAAAATGACATCACGCGCATGTGCAGACGTGCCGTCACTAGTTACGTTTACCTCTAGATGCGAATGGGGCTCCGGAACGCATCCCATTCGTATCTAGAGGTACCACTGTGCACACAAAAAGGATCCTCAGTGGAGGAGAATCTGTTGCAATTTCTTCCACGAGAAGAAAGGAGCTGTTGACCTCCTGGCTGCTTAACAATGATAGCTGACCTAATCATTCAAGAGGGCCAAACTCCATGTCAATTTTAAGTGTGCATTTTTAAAAGCACATGGGCCGCTATCTTTCCCAAAATCGTTTCGGCAGAAAAGGAGATTGGTATAGACGCCCTAGTCTGGGTTGGATTCATAATGCACAGAGAAAGTTATCTCTTCCCGCTGAGACTCACACCTTGAAGGTCCTCTTGGCAGCAACTAGGGAGTGGCGGTGGTGGCAGGAATAGCAGCTCGGAGAAGGATGGAGGATTGTTGACGAGGAAATGGTGCAGGAAGAAAAGAGCTAAGAAGCAAAATGCCCTCCCTGCAAGCCCTCATCCAAGGCCTTACACAGCTGCTCTTTCTGGGGGGAAAAGAGAAAAGCATGCTTTACTGACGTAATGTATGCTTCTGCTCTTAAGATTTACACATTATGCCTCTGAACGTCATTTTCTGGGAATCACAAGTGGGGAGAGCGCTGTTATGCTCATGTGCTAATTTCAGGTTTCCAAGGGGGGCATCTGGATGGCCAGGGTGAGAACAGGATGACAGGCTAGGTGGACCCACTGGCTTGAGGAGGAGAGGGCTATTGATGGACACTAGTCATGATGGTAGGGACGTGGTAGGTGCTGTGGGTTAAACCACAGAGCCTAGCTCTTGCTGATCAGAAGGTTGGCGGTTCGAATCCCCACGGCAGGGTGAGCTCCCATTGCTCGGTCCCTGCCTGCCAACCTAGCAGTTCGAAAGCACATCAAAGTGCAAGTAGATAAATAGGTACCACTCCAGCGGGAAGTTAAATGGTGTTTCTGTGCGTTGCTCTGGTTCGCCAGAAGCGACTTAGTCATTCTGGCCACATGACCCAGAAGCTGTACGCCAGCTCCCTCGGCCAATAAAGCGAGGATGAGCGCCACAACCCCAGAGTCTGCCACGACTGGACCTAATGGTCTGGGGTCCCTTTACCTTTAGCCATGATGGTTATACTCTGCCTCCATGGTCGGAGGCAGTTATGCTTCTGAATCCCAGTGGCTGGGGACCACAGAAAGGGAGAGTGCTTGGATCCTCCTTGGAGGTTTCCCATAGGCACCTGGTGGCCACTGTGAGAACAGGATGCTGGACTAGAAGGGCTATTGGCCTGATCCAGCAGGCTCTTCTTATCTTCATCTAGAGTCTGCCTTATACCAAGTCAGATCACTGGTCCATCCATCTCAGAATAGTCTACATTGACCAGCAAAGGCTCTCCAGGGTTTCTGACAGAGGTCTTCCATCAGCCACTGAGGATTGAGCATGGCACCTTCTGCATGCACAGCAGATGTTCTGCCGCTGATCTGCACCCCTTTCCCCTATGGGAACAACAGACAGGTTTTGGAGGGTTTGTTTCAGTTGCTGGGCACAGGCATGCCGCTTAACATTGCAGGCATCAAAGCACCAAAATCCCTTTCTATTCCCCCCCTCTCCTCCTCCTTCTGGGCACATATTCCTTGCCTTGATCTTTGTAATGTTCTGGGCACCACTGTAAGCGCAACGTGACTCTCCTTTTCCAGGAGGGAGAAGAGGATGCAGGGAACGGGAAGCAGAGCCAAAGCAATTTGGCAGAGAAATAGTGGGCACAGTGTTTTTTTCTTTAGTCAGCAAATTGCATGGCAGACGGCCACTTCAGCCTTCCCCTGCTTCTGAAAATGAGGGATGCTGTGGGGCTTCGCTCACCCTGGGCATGCTGCGTGGCGTTGCTTCAGCGTCGCTGTTTGGTGTTTTGCTGTGCAAAGATTGAGGGACAACTTTTGTGCCTGGAATGCAGAATCATGGAATTGTAGCTTTGGAAAGGGACCCTTACAGGTCAACAACCCCAACCTCCTGCGATGCAGGAATCACAGCTGAAAAATCCCTGACAGGTGGCCATCCAACTTATGTCTAAAAACCTCCAATGAAGGAGAATCCATCGCCTTCACAGGTAGTCCGTTCCAGCGTCAAAGAGCTCTTACCATCAGAAAGTTGTTCCTGATGTTTAGGCAGAATCACCTTTCTTGTCATTTGAATCCATTGGTTCAGGTCCTTGCCTCTGGAGCAGCAGAAAACAAGCTTGCTCCGTTGTCCATGTGGCACCCCTTCAGATATTTGAAGATGGCTGTCATATCACCTCCTCTCCCCCAAGTTAAAACATACCCAATTTCCTCAACCATTCCTCATAAGATTTGGTTTCACTCTGGGTCAACTTGGCCACTCTTCTCTGCCCTATTCCAAGTTAGATCGGAGTCCATCTAGCTCAGTGTTGTCTACAGTGATTGACAGCCACTCTCCAGGCAGGACACTCTCCCAGCACTACCTGCAGATGCTGAAGATTGAACCTGGGACCTTCTGCATGCAAAGCAGACACTAACACAGAGCTATTGCACCTTCCCCAGTGTAAACGAACACTGAAATTTTAGCTCTGTGAAATGCTTGCAGGGGATGGTCAGATGTGTTCTGCAACAAAATTTTGCAGTGTGTCCTCACCTCCCAGCAGGAATGGTTCAGTTGGGAGTTGCAGCCAACCAGTCTTGGACCTCTCCCAAGAGAATCCATTGCATCTCTCCTAGTTTCGACTTTCTGTTCTGACACTCAGCATTCCAACCTGTCAAGTCCTCGTTGGATTGAATTTTGGGGATTCTTTTATTTTCTTGCACTTCTTCAAACCTTGGAAGTCGCCTCATCCCTTCTCAGTGGCCCTATTTTGGCACTCACCACCTGAGTTTGCATTAGAGAGAGGGATTGTTTTTGAGTACATGCAAGTGCGTGGGTGGTGATTTTATGAGTGTTGCATGATTTGTTGTGCAGCAGTAGGGTTGTGTGCTGTGATAGAGAAGCATGAGATAACTTTCTGAAAAGAAGAGTGCTTTTTGGAGTGCAGCCCCAGCACAGAAAACACCTGGCTGATGTGCGCCCCCTCCCAACTCGCAGTCTCTAACTTTACACAAACTCTGGCTTCTATCTGCTCTGCTGTAATCTTAATAGACGAGCATTCTCCAACTCTGCCTTGAGGTCCAGCATTTTGCCTGCGCTTGCAGAAGAAACTCTGCTTTGCTATAGCAACGTCAGCAGCAAGGCTATGGATGCTTCTGCTGGCTTCTCTGTTCTGTTAATTACTTCGCCTTTGCTGTCAGATCAGGGCCCTGGGAGAGGAGGCACCAGGAACCTTTTGAAGAGTGCCAAGATCACACAGTGTCGCCTTGCTGGGCAAGCAGAACCCTCTGGGAAGCCCCCAAGCAGGGCCTAAGGAGAATAGCCCACCGTGTCTGCCACTGCCCCCCAGCATTGTAAATTAGAGTCTCTGAACTGCAACCAGCTCTTCTCAGAATTAGGCCCATGGACGTTAACGGACATGACTAATGTGTTATCCTCCCTTCCTTTTGTGCCACAGCTCTGGGCTTCCCAGGCCCGTGTCCAAGTGTGTTTTGCTTGTTTGTCCTTTGTTATTGTCCCAGTGCTTTTCCCCTGGGGAAACCCGCATTTTAGCAATAAATTGGAGCAGACAGCATTTTCCGCAGATTGCGGTTTGCTACGATTCAGCAGTAAAATGGGGGTTTTCCCAGGAAACGCACCGGGTGGGGTGCGGGGGGACCGTTAGGACATGAACCTGGAAAGCCCAAACCTGTGCCTAGAAAGCTGAAAGCAAAGGTGAGTGTGGAGCTTAGGTTCATTCAGTTGGTTTTATTTTAGTAGAACTTAATTGGAGACAACCCTGCATTTATTAGTGGCTCTTAAGTATGAAAATGTATAAAAAGGGCAAAATTATTATCAATTACCTGCCCTTCACCTTAAGATCCCAGGGCAGGTTACAACTTTAAAACACACTATTAAAAAGTTTTAAAGAGCTTGCAATTACAAAAATAAGGTGGGTCCTAATAAAGCCAGGGTAAGGAGGTGTGTCTTCCCCTCTGATTTTTTAAAAAAGAACAAAAGAAAAACCTCTTAAACTGGTGTGGAAATGTGGAAATCTGAATTTTGGACTGGAAAAATGAGACACTGAAGTTTAACAGATTTGCCCATCCCTTACCTCTGGCTGACCCATCTAAACCGGAGGCGGAACGTGGGATTGTGAAGGTTTCTGTAAGCACCGTGCCACTCTTTCCCCTCGCTTCCTGTTTGCGTGGAGCTTAATCGCCTCTCCTCTGGGTTGTTGATGTAGCTTTCTCTCTTTGCATGTTAAGATATTTATCTTGAGCGGAGCCAGCTTGGGATGGAGTTTCTCAGCATCTGTATCCATTTCTCCCACCCACAGTCAGGCTTTCCTAAGTGAAACTGGCAGCTCTGCTCTACTGCCCTATGTCAGCTTGCTTCACTCAAGCGCCTCTTGACGCAACGCCTAGACTTAAACTCCTACCCTGCCCAAGAAAACGTCCAAAGCATATATTTCTGGCACCTAATGGGACATTCAGAGCCCATCTTTTCCCCCAAACCCTAAAAACGTGCATATGTTGGGGAAATACCCAGTGCTTTGAATGTAAGTAGCAGGTGTGGAAACATGCTGATCTTTGGGGCATTGTTTTCTATGGTTTATTAGACATTAGGTATTTAAAAAAACCTTTTAAGGAGTTTGGGACTGGGAACAGGAAAGGACAGGGGTTGGGGGAACTCTTGAGACGAATACAACGTGGGTTTAAGTTGAAGGAATATGGCCAGGATTATGTGTGATATTCTGCATCTCCACTTCTTCTTTTCTTACTGGTTTTTTAAATTGCAAATATAACAGGAAGAAAAGTGAAAAAATAAATAAATGTCAGCACACATGACCCCTATTCTCCTCCAAGAGGTACAATTCCCAGAGTGCTTTAACAATCAGTTCCTCTTCCCAGGTTACTCTGGTAACTGTACCTGTAAACAGAATGCTCATCTTTCATAGAATTGTAGACTTGGAAGGAATCTGGTCCAACCCCCTGCAATGCAGGAACTCTGCCTACCGCCATCACTGGGTGGGCTTCCTAACTACCAGCCTTACGGTTAACAGCCAGACGCATTTTAAATAAAAGCACACAATCTACTCATGTAAAAACACCAGGCAGGCCCCACAAATAACCCAGAGATGCATTTTAAATAAAAGGATACATTTTACTCATGTAAAAATACTCTTAATTCCTGGACTGTCCGCAGGCTGGATTTAGAAGGCGATTGGGCCGGATCCAGCCCCCGGGCCTTAGTTTGCTTACCCATGGGAATGATGGTCTCTTAACAACAACTCTCAGCACCCTTCATGGACTACAGTTCCCAGGAGTCTTTGGGAGAAGCCATGACTACTTAAAGTGGCACAGTAGTGCTTCAAATAGATGGTGCAGATGTTGCCTTAAGAGTCGTGGTTACACTTCCTCTGCATTTTTGGTTGCCCTCCTTCCATTTTGGAGCTTAAGAAGTGCTTGCATGGGGTTCCCAGGTGGTTCTCCTGTCCAGGCCCATCCTCCTGCAGCAGCGTTTCTGTATTAGGTGCCTTCCATCTTTGCTTTGGAGGTCCTTAATTTGCAGGTTTGCCTTCAAGTTTCACATCGCTGGAAGCTCTCCTGCCGGCTGATGGAAGTACAATTCTGGTTTTAAAATAAAAATAAAGATCTGGCTTTGCCGTCCTTTTTTTTCCATTTGGCAATGGCATTTCCTTTCGGGGCTGGGCAGCTTATGCTAAGACCTCTATCTGCTTCTTTTCATCCTTTAATTGTGCGTTGAAATTTTGGCCAGCGGCCAATGCTTTGGCATGTGTCTAATGCGAATGCAGCAATTCCTGTAGGACCAGTAATGCAGTGGGCAGCCCGGCTGTATATATTAGCTCCCTGTTTCCAACCTATCTGATTGAATAGCGCTGTTTATAACCTGTATACTCGTACCGCAGGTTGATTCTCTTGCATTGCCTTTACATATTTTTTTTGCACCTCTCTCTCTTTTAAACATCTTAGCCCTACGATGAAGGGTTGTTGCAAACTAGCACTGTATGGAGCAAGGACCAGCCTGCTTATTAAGGTCTTCCTCAGAGGCCCCACCCCATGTGCCATCCTCGGGCAACTCCTGGGGTTAAGGCCTTTGTGGCAGTGGGGACCAAACTGTGGGACTCCCTTCCTCAGTAGAGCTGCATTGTTCATTCACTGCCGTCCTTCTGGCACTCAGGTGCTTTTTAGAGCCTGCTTTGGACAACATGGTAGGCCAAACTGACTGACTGCAGGAGTGGGGAAACCTTTGGCCTTCCAGTTGTGGCTGAACTACAGCTCCCATCAGCCCCCAGCAAACGTGGCCAATAGCTAAGGATGGTGGGAGTTGCAGTTCATGAGCAGCTGGAGGGCTGAAGGTTCTCTACGCCTGCCTTACTGGGACAGCACAAAGACATGGGCTCCTGGAAAGGAGCTTGCTGTTGGTTTCTTCTTACCTGTGCCTTTTTTCTTTTTTACTGCTGCACAGCATGGACTGAGTGGTGTCTTAGAATCATAGAGTTGAGAAGGGACTACGAGGGTTATCTAGTCCAACCCCCTGCAACATGGGCCTCGAACTCACAACCCTAAGAGTAAGAGTCTCGTGCTCTATCAACTGAGCTATCCAGCTCATTATAACTTGCCATTGTGTTCTCTCCTTCCCTCTCTCCCCGTGGATACAGCTTGTGGCTAGTTAGGAAAGAATGTTAACCAGGAATCCCAGTCTGGATGACAGAATAAGTCAAACTTTGGCTTGGCTTAGCTTGGCGATGGAAAAACAGGACCGTGAAGGAAGAAAATATCTGCAAACTCCTCTTTAGGAGTTCACATGTTTGTGCTGTTCCAGTAGTTTGGTGTACTGTGTTGTGTGAACCAGGCCCCAGAGCCTTTGGAGTTTTGTGGCAAATCTATTTTTGTTCTGTTTTTACTCTGTTCTATTCTGTCCTTTAATTTCTAAAATTTTACAGCAATGTATTTCACATGTTAATTCATCTCACGTATTTACGGGCCGCTCTTCACCCGAGTAGTCTTGAGGCAAGGTGCAACCAAATGTTATGAAATCACAATAATTATACAAGAGCAAAGCAAAACAATCCTAAATTATCATCAGCAACAGCAGCCAGAGAAAAGTGCAGCAAGGTTAAAACAAAAATGCAGTCAACAGGAACAAATCACAGTGCATCTTGCCCTTCCCCCAAAGCCTGGACAAATAGGTGTTAAAAGGCAGTTCCATAAATGTGGAGCCACCACAAAGTAGGCCCTCCCTTCACAAAATGTCAGTAAAAGTACAGTTGCAGAATAAATCAACAGAACTAAGCAATCATGGCTGTTTTTAAGAACAACCAGCAAAAGGCTTGTTTTAAAGCATTTCTGCCCTTCTCTTCAGCTTATAGAGCAATAAAAAACTGCATAGGCCCCAGCCCCAGCACAACAGGAAAAAGGGAGGCGGGAGAGAGAAAAACAAGCAAATTATTAATGTTACAATTAAAGAGCGTACATTATTTTTAAATGCTGGTGCCTAAAATGTACTGGCATATGTGCCAGATGGGCCTCTTCAGGGGGAGAATTCCACAGTTGAGGCATTGCAGGGTGGGGGATTTCTGGGTGCCCTCCATCCCAGTTCACCACACAGACTGAAACAGAGGGGCTGATTCATTTCATTTTTCTCTTTCTTTCAGCAAAAAATGCACACCTCTGTTCTGCCTTCCCTGCCACAAATGTTGCATTCACCTCCATGAGAAATTCCTTGAGCATCCTTTGTGGGAGGGCTATCCCCGTTAATATTCTCCCTTTTCATGTGTTTCTCTGTGCACCTCACTTGGGAGTGGGGTGGGCGGTTTGTCCCACCTTTTCTTCCAGCGAGTAAAGGAAAAACAAAGGGAGGGTCTACAGCACTCTTGGTAATGATACCCAGGTATTTTTCTAAGACAGAAATGATAGGAAGTCCAGCTCCTACAGCCCTTCCATGCTGTTCATGTAGTGACGATTCACTTTGGTTCATTGCAGAGCGCTGTTCTGATATGCAACCCCCAGGTTTTGACTAGGTATCAATGCAGATCTTTTCAATTTTTAATATCAGGACTCTGCCATACTGCAGTCCTGGCAGCGTTCCTTGGGGAGGGGGCTGGCAGACTTGAAGATACAGAAGTACTGTGTATGTTTCACAAGAGGTTTCATCCTGCTTTGCTTCAGTGGGCTGGGAAGCACCTTTTATAACACGTCATAAAGGTCTTGCAAAATGCAGTTCCCCCTCTCTGCTGCACCTTAATTCTGGCTCTCCAAGGCTTGGTTTGGTTTCATTCTTGGATGGTTTGGTTTTGATTACATTTTATGATGCTGCCTTTCCAGCCCCGCCAGGGCCCCAAAGATGGTTCAGAATTAAACCGGTTCATTAGGGTCGGATTTGTTTGTTAGTGTTCATTAGCCTCAGCATTTATAAGCAGACCAGTTTCCCGCTATGTTCTGGTAACTGTCTCTAGTAAATCACTGTCAGTATTTGGTCTTGCGCGGGGGATATTGTTATGTCTGTTAAGGATCAATCTCTGAGTTGTGGACCAACTGCATCTTGATGGTAACATGCACTCACTTAGATTCATTCATATGGATGCAAAATGGCTGCCCACTGCTTTCCTTCCACCTGGCATCACTGTCTCTTCAGGTAGTAAACGCTGATAAATGTGTTTTCAGTTGCAGCAGCTATGCCTTCTAATAGCAAACTCAGCTGGTTGACTTCCTGTCACGCAGGAAGCAAAATGGAACCTTTCTGAAATAGTTGCAGTTTATACATTCTGAGTCCTCTAGATATGCAGAAGACCGTAGGTCTGTGCATTAGAAGAGGGACTTGGGCGCAGGCAAACCCCACCCACGATATAATGCCAGGTGAAGGCACCACCATGCACTGGCTCTGGGCAATATATCGCCCAGGCCTGCCATGTATGCCCTTTTGAGCTCCTTGGAGGAGAGGAGGGGTAGAAATGAAATAAATACACTAGCAAGAGAACTACCTACAGGGATGGGAGACCCTCAAGACATGCAGTGTTCTATACTGGGACCCTAAAAGCACCTAATTGTGTATTTTAAAAGATAAATGAAATCTGGGCAGTGTTTGAAATGCATGTAGCACAGGGATGGGAAACCTGTGGCCTTCCAGATGTTTCCATCATCCCTACCAGCCACTGTGGCCAGGGATGATAGCAGTTTTAATCCAGCAACATCTGGAGGGCCACAGGTTCCTTGAGGCAAGAGATGCTGGTGCAAGTGGCCAATGGGCTCACTGTTTCGTTCTGTTTGCTTCTCTCTTTTTTGCAGGTAATAAAGTAAACGGGGAAAGGAAGAGAAGGTGGAGATGGAACTGCCAAATCATGCCAAACAACTGCTGCTGCAACTAAACCAGCAACGAGCCAAAGGTTTCCTCTGTGATGTGATCATTGTCGTGGAAAATGCCCTCTTCCGTGCCCACAAGAATATCCTCGCAGCCAGCAGCATGTACTTCAAATCCCTCGTCCTGCACGACAACCTGATCAACCTAGATACCGACATGGTCAACCCCACAGTGTTCCGGCAAATCTTGGACTTTATTTATACTGGGAAGCTCTTAATGACCGACCAGCCTGGTGAACAGAACTTCAATGCTCTCCTCACGGCCGCAAGCTACCTCCAGCTACCTGACCTAGCTGCCCTCTGCAGGAAGAAGCTGAAACGCAACGGGAGGTCCTTCGCTGGCAGGGCCGGCGGCGCCCCCAGCGTCGGGAGACCCCCTCGGAGTCAGAGACTTTCCACTGCTTCAGTCATCACTCGTTATTCAGGGTCAGCCGAGGGGCTGAAGGGCTCTCACTTGAAGGAGATGCCAAAGGGGAAGATCTCGGACGACGAGGTCTTCATCAGCAGCTCCAACCAAGAGAACTCCCATGCCTTGAGTAGGGGGATCGGCAAGAACGGCGGAGACGGGAGCAGCAGCAGTGCGAACGGGAGCAGCGGGGACCAGGAGCTGGGCCTCGACCTGTCCAAGAAAAGCCCCTCGCTTCCCCCGGCACTGTCCCAGGACGACACGCCGCACGGCGAAAGCCAGCGTGGCTCCCCCCGACCTGCCTCAGCCCCTGCAGCCAACAGTGCCTCATCGTTTGACGAGTCCGCCGCCGGAGCCGCGCCCAACCTCCCCGACAACTGCGAACCGATGGAAATGGACTTGAGCGAAGACCGCCAGTCCCTCCCGGAAGGCAGCCAGAGGAAAAGCCTGCGCCATTCGTCGCGCAAGAAGGAGTGGCTCAAGAAAGAGAGCGCCTTCGACAGGAAGGAGGGCGGCAGCGGCAAAGGCGGCGAGGAGAGCGAAGGACTGCCCAACGGGATCCTGATGGGCCCCTTGTGCAAGTCGGCGGAGCGGAGCCTCGGCCTGGGCGCCTACGGGTCGGAGCTGCCGTTCACCTGCAAAGAGGATGTCGAGAACGGGAAGGAGAACAGCGACGACAGCGGGCAGAGCGAGAGTGGCGGGCACACTAGCGCCAACTACGTCTACCGGCAGGAAGGCTACGAGCCGGTGGCCTTTGGGGACAACCTTTACGTCTGCATCCCGTGCGGGAAGGGCTTCCCCAGTTCCGAGCAGCTGAACGCCCACGTGGAGAAACACACCGAGGAAGACCTGTACATCAAGGAGGAAGGGACGTACGACGACAAAGAGGAGGAAGCGGAGGATCTGTCCAACCCCAACCAGCCCTACACCACGGAGTCGCGGCCCTTCAAATGCTCTGTGTGCGAGAAGAGCTACAAAGACCCGGCCACTCTCCGGCAGCACGAGAAGACTCACTGGCTGACGCGGCCTTTCCCATGCAATATCTGCGGCAAGATGTTCACGCAGCGGGGCACCATGACGCGTCACATGCGCAGCCACTTGGGCCTCAAGCCCTTTGCTTGCGAGGAGTGCGGGATGCGCTTTACCCGGCAGTACCGACTGACAGAGCATATGCGCGTCCACTCAGGGGAAAAGCCCTACGAATGTCAGCTGTGTGGCGGGAAGTTCACCCAGCAGCGCAATCTCATCAGCCACCTGCGAATGCATACCTCTCCTACATAAAGCCAAAGACTCTGCAATGAGCTCTGAGCCCACCCGCCATAAACGTATACCTTTCCCTAGACTTGCTGCTTTAAAAAAAAAAGAAAGAAAAAGAAAGAAACAAATAAGGGCCGTTCCCGTCCCTGTTCAGTCATGGGGGGGCCTCAAACAAGCAGAGCTTTATTTCTTTCTCTTCCCCGTCCCCCAAACTCCAAATATACAAAGAAAAGCCAGCCCACAATGAAGCTGCTGTCTCCCCATTTGTGTTTTTCTCCCCCATGCCACCCACCCACCCCTCTTTTTTTCTTTGCCGTTTAGGTCAAGAAATGCCACTACTCTGCTTAAGGTTGTGGGGACATCTAGCTTAACTATAAGCCCAGGTGTGGAGAGAAAAGGGGGGGAGGTGAAGTGGAAGAAATTCCTTCCCAGTTGATGCTAATTGGAAATGGCGGCCCAAAGGGGCCGATCCTTGCGATTGGGGTGGGGAGGAAAGACAGGCCGTAAGCTGCTTCATATCCCTCACTTTCCTTTCTTAGCACTTTGGATTTCTGTTTCTAAAACTTGATCCAAGTATTATTCCTCCCCCCCCCCCCAAATCAGATGGATGTTGCGCACAGACTTTTCCGGTTCCTGTGGCTGTTTTTCCTAGCCATGGGCCTTAATTTCCGCCCACCCCCTGCTCTCCTAACCATTGACATTGGTTGTTGCCCCTAAAAGCTACCAGTGGGAGCATTTCTTGCCACAGAATCCAATTCGTTTTGTTGTTATTATCGTTATTTTTTCTTTTCTCAGAAAACGCCTCAGAATTTCTTTTATTGGCCGCAGTTGAGGAAAATTTTGTTGGTGGCCCAGTCATTTGGCCGTCTCTCACATGGGGGAGAGTCTTAATGAATCCTCAATAGTTTTTGCATGCTTTCAGTCTATGAAAGGTGGCACATTTTTCTTTTCCCCACCCCACCATTATTTTTCAGCGATGGAGTTCGGCCTACTTAGCCGTTGCACACAAAACATGTACCTCTTCACCTCCATGTTTTTGTCCTATACCTTACTTAAATTTACTTCAACCTTATCCATGACTGAATGGGAGTCGGGTGCCCCTGGGGAATTTACTTCAGCTGAGCAGGGGTCGTCTTTTATGTTTCTCCCCCCACCCCCCAAAAAACCAATAGTTCGTATGGATATTCTTTGCTTAGAGGTACTTGTTTTATTAAGAGGGAAAAAAAGAAAATTGTTAAAACGTTTATGTAATTGTTGGAACTGGAAGGTTTTGAGGTAACTCTTAACATAAGAGCGGGCGCAGGGAGTGGGTTTGATAATAGGCTGGAATTGCTACAAGTTCCTTTAGGTACATCTTTATTTTGTGTGTGCGTGTGTGTGTTTAGCTTTTTTCTCCCTCACTAAAGAACGGGTTCGGCCCGTTCCCTTTGCTACCTCTTGAATTCATGAGAACAATAAGATGGTTAGTGAAATATTAGGTGTGGCGTTTTTGTCCCCCTGCCCCTCTTCCTCCCCCCACCCCACCCCTTGTAAGTAAGTGTACAAAGTAGAAACTAAATTAAAACGTTTAAGGGATTTTTTTGCCACCTCATCCTACCCTCAAGAAGTCCATTTAAAATGAGCATTTTGAAGCAAACCGTGGCCAAAGACAATAGGTAGATTGCAAGCCAGAAGCCCGAGTGAATAGTGCTGTAGGGGGGCGCTGGCTTTTCACCAAAATTACTGATTTTTCTGTCCATGAGGAAACTTTTTTCTTTTCTTTAAGAGCTTCTGGGCTCTTTCCAGCTTTGTTTTATTGCACCTGGATGCTGTTTTTTTTGTGGGGGGTGGGGGAAAGAATGTCTACTGTCCGTTGCTTTCCTTAACACATCTGGATTAGCAAAAAAAGTGACCATCTGACAGGATAAGGGAACGCCGTTGTAGCAGGCGGCGTTTTCCTAGGATCCAGAGTGCAATAAGAGTGTGTGGGAAGCCCAACCAAAGTGTTTCATATCCTCCCTTTTCGTTGAGGGGGTGGTGGTGAGGGAGATTGCGGGGTGTGTGGTAGGTATTTTTTCTCCCGCTCTTTTCATGATGGCGGCAATGGTAGTCGTCAAGGAAATCTTAAAACGCACGCCACACACGAGTTGGAAAGTTCGGAAGAGCAAACGTTTCCAACAGCCTCTGTAGAAGACTTCACAGCCAACAGCTGCTATAGGTTTTAGAGGAGCGGACAGAGTATATCGCCCGCCATTTTGTGGCCCCTTGACTTTGTTGGCATGACTTTTTGTGAAAAGCAATGGCTTCCCCACCACCACCACCATTGCCCCCCAGTGTGTTGGGGGGGGAGTGCGGTGGTAAAACATTTTTTGCAGTCCCTTTAGAATCATCCTGTCTAAAATTGAGTAAGGTTTACATTTTTTTTCCGCTTTAACTTTCTTGCTCAAAACCATTGTTCTCTTTATTATTATTATTATAATTATTATTATTAATATTATTATTATTATTATTGGTAGGGTTCACCAAAGCCCTATGTCTTTTTTTTTCTTCAGAAAAGGAAAAAAATCTTGTGTCTTTTTAAGTTTAGACCAAAAAAAAGAAAAAAAGTTGAGCATATTCAAATAAAAAACAAAGATAAGCTTTCATTATTATTTTTCTCCCCCCTCCCCAAAAAGACTTTTTTTCCTTTTAAGAAATAGACCGTATAAAGTGTTTTGGGTCACTCAGACCTCCATGCAGGAAAGGCTTCCAGATATCCCTAAACTCTCAACTCCCAGCCAGCAAGGTCAATAATATTGGGTGATGGGAGGTGTAGTCTGGAAATATTTGGAGGGCCACAGATTAAACGCAACCATATTTTGTCTTGTCGCGTTACAAGAAAAGGTTCCTTCCCCATTCCGTATAACTTTGCCTCACGCAATGTCGGGCTGCTTTCTAATTCCCTTGTTCTAGTGTCGCCATTTTGATTTTCATGTAGGTTTTGTGAGATGCTAACAGAGCACTGATGTGGAACGATTCGTTCTAAGACCACCACCCCAAAAAAATCATAAGATACATTTCTTTTCCTTTTTTTCTATTAAAAAACAAAACACTACCGTTGGGTTGGATACAGACTTAAGTCATATGGGCCTACTGACCTCAGTAGGACTTAAGTCTGGATTCAATCTGCTGTCTGCTTTGTGGGAGGCGATGAAAAAAATAAAATAACGTAGCCTGTAAATCTTCACCTTCAACCCTGTAGGCAACTTGGGAGTTCAGAGCGGGGAGAGGCTTTCCCACTCTTTTTTTAACATCCTTTCGTGTGCTCCAAGTTGCTCACACACATACATGAAATTAAGAGGAAGGTCCTTGCTGACTGTGGAGCTCCATAATAAAGACCCGCTAGAGGTTAATGGATTGCAGTTCCCGTATGTAATAGACCAGACCCAGTTGTGTTGCAGGTGTTAGATTATATGAGATCTGTACTGCACAGCCACCGTAGACGTTCACGTAGAGACATCCATGGTGGATTTGGTGCACATGCCTTGCCAAAGCCAGATAAAAACTAAACCAGCACCTGTGAATTCATACTTTGAGGGACGTAAGGCCTCGATCGGCGGGGTCGTTCCCCCCACCCAGGAGCCAAAGGGCACAGGTGTTGATTTTTATTTTATTTTATTTTTGAACAGCGCAAACCGACAGGGCTCGGGTCTTCCCCGTCAGCTTCCTTCTCACGTTATCCAGACCCCTTTCCCCACCCTTTCTACTCTTGAGATGCCTTTGGAACCAAGTCCTGAGCCAGTAATCTGGTATCTGAAGCCAAGAGTTGAGATTCACTCTGCTTTTTATTCCTACCTCACCCTCCAAAAAAGAAAAAGAAAAGAAAGCAGAATGCCTAACTCTTTCTCGACACATACACCCTGCTTTTCCTGTTGCAGTTACAAAGCAACAGCGGTTCTCTCCATTCCACGCCGCAGTTTGCGCGAAGGTTTTCCTCTTCCCCGCCCAGCGCACTTTCCTTTCAACTGGCAATGACCACGATTAAAAATTGCATTAATGGGGCCAAGGCATCGCCCTGGTGGTCAAGACCCGTCCGAGGCGCGACAGACTTTTTTGCTGAGCCAAAGGAGCAAGTGAATTACGAGTGGCTCCTTAAACTTTGTAGCACCCATTCCCACTTTGTGACATTTTTTACCACTCCTTTCCCCCCCCCCCTTTCCGGTGGCCAAGATGTGCGCTTAAAAGTATTCTTTCTGGGAGGCAGGTGCTGCAGGGAATTGCATCTTTTGTCTGGTTGTATACATAGCAAGTTGCTGTTTGGTTATTAAATGTCCTCCTGTAGTTCTCCAAAGAGGAGCTCAAGAGTTGATCCTATGATCCCTCAAAAAAATTTCTTTCATCCAGTAGTTGTTGGGGGTGGGCGAGGGTAGAGGTGTTAGGCTTGATTTGGGTTTCCTTTTGCTAATGGTTTGAAATTTTGGAATCTTGGAAGTTTCAGGACCCATTTCTTGTTGGGTATGTGTGTCCCGTCCCCCCCCCTATTCATTAATTATTGTTAAAGGAGCCTCCTTTTTATTTTATTTTTTATTTCTTCCCCTCAGCACTTAACATGACAAAAAGTCTGTGTACAGCGTGAGTATTGTACAAAAATGGGGAGGGGGAGTTTCTCCTTTTTCTTTCCCCCCCTTCATCCCCCCTTTTTTTCGAAAGTAGTTGTATAGAGTTGTGTTCCATATAATACCGAATGATGACTTCTTTCCAAATTGTGACAATAATAATGAAAAGAAAAACCGAATAATACTCAAAACTTCAGGGACTGTTCAGGGCTCATTTAGAGGGTCTGAACACTCAACTGCATTTGTACGACATAGTATTGTATCAAGCATTTTCTGTATTTTAATGAAAAAGCAAAACACTAGTTTCATATTTAAGATTTTAAGAGTTTGTTGGGTGGGGTGGGGAAGGAATTACATTTTTTTGGTTCTGTTTTTTGTTTTGTTTTTTTGGAGATACAGAACGAGCCTCCTGAGGATTTTCTTTCTTTCTTTTGAAGTGCAGGGGCCTGGCAGCTTGATGATATGCTTTAGTCAGTTTAGATCCAGAATGTTTTCGGAATAACAGGAGAGGAAAATAAAGAATAAAGTAGAAGAAGTTGTATTAAAAATAAAAGAAAAGATAGCTCATACCCAAATCCACAAAACTATTTTTTAAACCAAAGCACATTTTGAAATGAGTATGGAACCTCGCTTGGCTCAGAAAAAAAAATTAATATATTTATCTCATTGTTTACATAAACTTCTACAGTTACAGACCTCAACAGATCTAGGGGCCAGTCAAAATTAATCTTTGCTTTTTCCATTGGTTTAGCTGTCAAATGGCTTAACACAATTTTGTTTAATGGGGGGGGCATTAAATTAAATATATACATATTTCTCACCAACTCTATTTAGGAAGTAATCTGCATTCCACCACATTTTTCGGATGCATCAGGTGTTGGAGGGGGAAAGAGTCACATAGGCCTCACTAGTTGATACCCTGAAAACAGGAAAGAGATTTCCATTCAAAGCAGTTCAGGGACAGACAGGATCGCGTCGAGGAAGCAGGGAATTTCATAGAGGCGGGCTTCCATCTGTTAAAGCTGCATTGCATAGGAAGTAATGGCATCCATTGGTGGTTAATACATATGGTGCTGGATTTGAAAGGTTTTGTAGGAAAGGGAAAGAGGGAGATAAAGGATGTGGATGGATATGTCCTCCAGCAATCACATATCTGAGTGGGGATGGTGGGAGCAGCAGATGATGGAGAAAACCAGGGGGACACTGCCTTTTGGAGGAGGGCAAACAGACGCCTAACGTTAGCCGAGAAGCTGGGCTGCTGTTCTTCTTAGCCCCTGCTAATGGGAAATTGCCAAATATAATATTTATATATATGTATATCTTTATTCCAGCCGTGGGCTACTCTGAAGAGCCACAATGTTTTCAGAAGACACCAAAGAGCTTCTGACAAGTAGCTTTATCTTAGGGCATTAGCCTCAGAAAGGAGGAAGGGCCTTAGCTGGTCCTGTACCGAAATGTCCACAGGTATTAAAAGGGCTCAGTAATCAAAAGACCAGCCTCGGGCAACCTTTGAGAGGTAGTCTTATCTGGTATGTGCCCTCCCTGGGTTCAGATGCATGGGCGCATATGCCAAAATTGCTTAGATTCCTAACACTTTCTGGTTTTTTTCTTTCTTCTTTTGACGATTTGGATTAATTCACTCCAATGAGGCTTGGGCAGGGATGGGGAGTTGACATGCAAGTCTCCAAATCAGCAAGTCTGCCTGACCCAGTTCGCAGTCTGGTGGGCACTATAGAGGAAGCACACCACTTTCTATCTCAGCGGGGTGTGTTAAATGCCATGGGCCTCTGGGCTACCCAATGTACAACATAGATGAGAAGTCATTTCTTGTCCTGTGTTTACGGGCCTGGTGTTTCCGTTCCCTCTCTGGTGGTTTGGCCAGACTGTGACCTGGGTAGGCTAGATCCCAAGTTGTAGTGCTCACGAGTGGAAGTGCTCTTTGTATATTCTTGGTTTTTCTAAAGGAAGAAAGAAAAAGGCAATGCAAGACATACAAAAGTATTTCCATGTTTTAAAAAAGGCATGCTTAGTTTTGCATCTTAGATAAAAATGAGAATGATCACCGAAGAACATTTATAATTATGAAGCTCCCACCTTCCAAAATTATACACACTTCTCCACTTGGCATTTTTGTTTAATTTAGTGCTGTTTTTCCACTTAACGCCAAAGCCACCTCATTATTATTTTTTTCGGAGAGAGGGAAGAAAAACCTACTTTGGGGTGAGAAGAGGCAGGAGAAGCCTGATGGAAAACAAACAAATTAATTTTGCCTGGTCTTGAATATCTAACAAAGATGGTGCAAACACTATTTGACAGTGTTGTTTTTTGTATCAATATGTATGTGCAGTAATGAATGTATTTATTTCTCAAAATTCTGTATGCACAGTTTTGCAAGGAAAAAAAGAAACTCAGAGCATTTGCAAAAGATGAAAAGATGTGTCCGCAGGGTCTTTGCTACAGGATTTCAAAGAGTAAAAATAAAATAAAAAATGTATTAAAAAGTTTTAAAACTTAAAAAAACAAAAAAGAATCTCAGAGACTCTCAGCATAGCCATAAACCATAGCCTGTGAAGACAATACAAAGACTGGACTTTTGTAGCTTTTTTGCATAGAAGACGGATTTGTTTTGCTGTATTTAAATGTTTCCAGTTACAATGTCATTCTTATACGATTTCCTGTCCTCTTTTTTTCTCTCTCATATGTTTGTGTGTGTGTGTGTGCGCGTGTGTGCGTGTGCAGATGTATACACGTGCGTGTGTGAGCAAGGATGTCAAGCACTGATTTTGAACAGTGCAGGTCAAAGTCTGGGTTAGCAGTATTTTTATTTTTTACCATGTCACTTCTGTTCTAAAACGCAGGAACGTCAGCCCTGAAAAGGAAACACCTGGGGCATTTGGTAATAGATGACAAAACCTATGATCTGAAGTGGAACAGTGGTGTGGGACGTGGTCAGGGTTTGATTATCATGGCGAGAAAGAAAAAGAGATAGGTGCAGGCAGTGTGAGCCATGTTCCATGCTGGTGCTTGGATAGGAAAATGTCCCAGCCCATTCCAGTGTCTTTCCCTTTTCCTCGGTGTTTACAGTGCAAGCAATAATGGTCAAATATTTTGGCATAGAGATGAGGTTAGCAAAGGGGTGGGGGGAATAGGTTAACAAAGGGGGGAAATGGATTGTGCACCATGCTTGTGGATGTTTTTGACGTGATGCGGCCGCAGTGTTCCCATACCACCACATGCTCAAACATTTCTTTTTATCTGGGACCGTTCACATCATTTCATAGCACCTGCCCAACCTTTCGCCAAAAGGGACCACAGCTATTGCGTTAAAGCTCAGGCACTGGGGAGTCTTTTGCTATGTCCCAACAAATTCCAGTTGCAACCAGTCTTTTCCTGCTTGCATCATGCCTTCAAGACGAGCGTTGTCATTCCTTCCGCAGGGCAAAAGCATTATGCAGCGCAAGGATGCTGAGCCTGAGAAATGACCACAAATCGCCTCTGAGAGCCCTGCCGTTCTAAGTAGGACAAGGAGGGTCTCAGTGAAATAGGGGGAAGTGGCAGTTTAAGGGCCAAGATGGACCTTTTCAGTCAAGTGCTGCTAGGTCTAAAGACCCAGGAAGACATCAGAGACGCAGTGCACAGATAACATGGCATGTGTCCAAAGTAGCGCCAGAACAAGGGCATTGGATACAACCCATTACCAGGATGCCCCTTATTTAAAAGACACATCTGGAGGGCCAACTTGAATCATACAAGTGCGCTGTGTTTCATCCCGATGGGTGCCCAGCATTAGAAATGTACAAGGACCGTCTAGTCTTTGCCTGCCTGCTTTTTTCCTACTCCAAATTCCCCTCCATCCTGTGCAGGGTTCCAGATGTGTACCTGCTGAGGAGGAAACAGCTGGTGGGGTGAAGCATTAAGCACCCCTCTTTCTTCTGGGGTCCTGTCCACCCATGTGGTTGTTGAGATAATGTTACGTGCCAGCTCACTTCTTTTGAACCTGGAGTCAAGCAAACCTTTTTGTGGGGTCTTAAGGCAGTAAGATTGCAAACCCCCTAGAAATCGAGCCCTCGATGTTTCACTGCTGTGGGTGCTGTTTTCCACCCCTACAGGCGTACGTTGCACAGGCATCTAGGAAATAAAAGCCTTTCAACTAGATATATTCAATACGCAGTGACATTAAAATGAAGACCACAAAAATCTTGCAGCCGCTGACTCATTGAACAAGCTCCTTTTCCAACCTGGTGCCTTCCAGGTTTTTTGGACTACCAACTCCCATCTGCAGGCCCAAGCACTGGGGAGGGCACCTAGTTGGGGAAGGCTGCCTAACTACTACTAGCTAAACCTCTCGCTTGATGCAACGCTGAGTTTTTGTCCCAGTCCTTCAGTCCCTCCTGCTGGCCTTCACTCCCATGTACTCGTAAGCGTTCAGTTGGGGTGAGTGTGTGGGGGCTGGCTTCTCACGCACAATTCCTGAAATGCTTTCCAAACGAATTATTTTCTTTTCAATGGGAGACGCTCCTAGGATCCGGAGTGAGATTTCCGTGCTGTGCCGGACTTCCTTTCCGAGCTTCATGTGTTAATGGGGAATGATTTCCCCGTTTTTCTACCTCACTCATACCTCCAGTGGATGTTGCAATACTTTTCTTTTCTCTTAACTGTCTTTTAGAACTCTCGGAAAGGATTTGGAGGATGGGAACTTCTTTTTTTTAAGGCGTCCCACTCATTCTCTCTGCCCCGCCCCATCCTCTCTCTGCTACCTGTGTTGAACATGTGGTTTGGGTGCACCGACTGCCATGTCTTATATCAAACAGGATAATGTAAGGTGCTTAGGTTAGCGCAAGGCATGGTGGGAAAAGTCACAAGAAGACAGTTCATAGGTTTTGCTCTTACCAGCAAACGAGAATATATGTCATGCATTCTGGATGTACACACAACTTTTATCAGTTGCAAGATAATGGTCGTAAATTAATAAACCAAGATTTGGATTATTCAGATTTTTCCCTTCCCTTGGGGAGGGGGAGAGGAAGAGCCACGCTTTAGTGGGTTGTTTTTTTAATTATTATTATTTAAAGTTCAGCTGGGAAAAGCAGTGGTGCGTCCCCCTCCCCTGCCTTGTTTAAGCCTTAACTCTCTGCCAGACCAAAAATCCCAGATGTTTCCCTCAGCACGGCTGATGTTCCTCTTGCAATGTTCTGTTGATTTCCTTCAAGAGCTTGAATTCAGGTCAGAGTTGCAGGGTGCTGTGGCTCCAACTCAAGTGTCATATTGGGGAAAATAAAAAAAAAACAAATTATAATATGATCTCAGCATTCAGAAATTTGCAGTCTTAATGTACAGTGATGAGAAACTGTTATTTTATGAACTTTTCATTAAAAGGTTGATTGAAAATTATAATCTCATTCCTCTTTTGGTCTCGGCATGCTTGCATTTATATTGTTATTTATTTTGTTATTAGTTCTGTTAATTCCAGCATGAAGTCACCGGGTGGGTCTCAACAATGTAAAATGCAACATTAAAAAACAGTTTAAAGCCAATTACAGTCACAAGAATCGGGGGTTTTCTAAATTTTGTGTGTTTGTGTGTGTCACAGACTTGGGTGAAATGTTTCCTCAGCATATGGCAAAAACAATAATGGTGCAAGATGTACTTTTGTGAGAAGGGAATTCCACAACTTAGGGGCTGCCACAGAGAATGCCATCAACCTGGACCACCCCAAAATTCTCAGGGTGGAGAAACTACCAAGAGGCCCCATCTGCTAATCTTACACCTGAGAAGGGTCTGTAGCGAAGGAGATGATCTTGTGTGAAAGAACACACACTTTGTACAGATCAAGTATTGTGTACGCAGACTCTGCACTCGTTGAATGTTACGTGGAAGTAGCCCCAAGTGTACAACACATTTGTGTACAGTGGTACCTTGGGTTACATACGCTTCAGGTTACAGACTCCAACCCAGAAATAGTGCTTCAGGTTAAGAACTTTGCTTCAGGATAAGAACAGAAATCCTGCTCTGGCGGCGCGGTGGCAGCAGGAGGCCCCTTTAGCTAAAGTGGTGCTTCAGGTTAAGAACAGTTTCAGGTTAAGAATGGACCTCCGGAACGAATTAAGTACTTAACCCGAGGTACCACTGTACACAGGTACGCGGATTGTAGGCTCACTGAATGCTAACATGTGAACACTTAGAAAAGTGTTTAGACTTTTCCTTCCGATGAAAAAGCTGGCGGGAAGCCACATTATGGAATGTATTTCAAATCCAGATACCCCCCCAAATGCAGAGATGAGATACCACAATTCAATGGAAGGCTAAAGTGATTCAAAGCTTTTTGGGGGGAGGGGGGAAGGCAGCTAAGAGGGAACATAGTAGGATTATTTAATATGTTGATCATCCTGTCTGGACAAAGCAAAGATCCCAAACTTAATTGGAACGATCCAGGGACTCAGCTACATTAGTCAAAAAACAACAAATTGAATGTGTTATAAACATGCAAGACTAGATGGCGCCAGAGAGCAGAAGATTTTTGTACATGATTTTCCATAGGGGGTCCCCCCCCACACACACTTTAGTTATAACGATCCAATTTCTGACTTAATTATAGTGTTTTTCCCCAATGTGTGTAGTTCCACCCCAGGTTGTATACTGAGCATGTCAAGGCAGCTCTGGGTTCCTTTTCACTGAAATGACCTGGAGACATTAAGAGAGGAAGGGGAGGATATTAAATGTGACATCCATTACAGGGGAAGATGGAGGCAAAGAGTCTTTCCTGCATTGTCTCCCCACCACTGTTGGACCTTAGGTCTGTGCAGCATCCCTGATTTAGGGCCCAAATCAGGTCAAATCAGGCCCATGCTGATCCAACCCCAGTCTGGATCATCAAAGAACTGGGGAGGGGGAGACACTTTATATACACCTTATCCCCATTTCCCCTAGTACTGTATTTAAAAGACATCGCCAGCTGCCTCAAGAACTTCAGTTTGTAGGTGGGGTAGAAACACTCCAATAAACTGTTCCCAAAGCTTTGCTTACCACTGCTCATACACTCCAACATTTCTCTGATTAAAATAGGGATGTCCTAACCATACCCTAAATGGGACGCGGGTGGCGCTGTGGGTTAAACCACAGAGCCTAGGACATGCCGATCAGAAGGTTGGTGGTTCGAATCCCTGCAATGGGGTGAGCTCCCATTGCTCAGTCCCTGCTCCTGCCAACCTAGCAGTTCAAAAGCATGTCAAAGTGCAAGTAGATAAATAGGTACCACTCCAGCGGGAAGGTAAACGGCATTTCCGTGCGCTGCTCTGGTTCGCCAGAAGCGGCTTAGTCATGCTGGCCACATGACCCGGAAGCTGTACGCCGGCTTCCTCGGCCAATAAAGCAAGATGAGCGCCGCAACCCGAGTCGGCCACGACTAGACCTAATGGTCAGGGGTCCCTTTAACGATACCCTCCCACATTTGCTTATGAAAACAGGGACGTCCTAAGGAAAAGTGCAACATTCCAGGATCAAATCAGAAACTGGGACAGCTTCTTTAAACCTGAGACTATCTCTGGAAAATAGGGACACTTGGATGATCCCACATAATGGTCTTACAGTGTCGGGGAGGACTCTTCCTCTAAAATGTGGCAGGTCAGCCTTGGAGCTTGTCAGAGCCCTCCTGCCCATTCTGTTGAGTGGGTTCCTGGGCCCACTGAGCATCTAACTACACCTTGCTTCACTGTTTCCAGGGGTAATGCCCCCCCAACCAACCAACTGTCTCCACTGGGTTTGCTGCTTTCCAAACCAGAGCAGCTCCTGTCATATATTCCCCACTTACATTCCCTAAAAGGGCATAAGATCCAAGCCTAATATTTAGAGATGGTTTCCTGTGTTGTAATGCTGGTTAGATGCACTCCCCCCACCCCCCACCACCCGCTTCACTTCCAGCCCAGCTGTGTGTAACAATCCTTGACATGCTGCCATGCATCCCCCTGCCTCTTTAAATTCATCCGCTTCCCTTCCTCCCCCCTCCCCCCATCTGCTCCCTCCAAAGCATCCGCAAGGCTGACTATATTTTAAAGTGACCGACTGCAGGAGCTTTGAATTTAGTCTGTTTCGCCGCCGCCCACCCCCCTTCCTGGCAGGTTGCAAAGTCAGCAGCCCTGGTTTAGAAAATCAACTTTATATGTCCTTGGAGATGTGCTTCACCCAACAAGGTTAAAGAGAAGGACAGTGAGGAATGGGGCAGAGAGGGGAGAGGGATGAAAAGCTGTTGGGGAAGGGAGAAGGAAGGTGTTTGGCTGAGGCCAGGCACCCTGGTTCCCCCTCTGTAGGTGTCTCTGCGTGTATTTGTTTGATTTGATTTGATTTATAATAATAGTCATATACAGTGGTACCTCGGGTTACATACGCTTCAGGTTACAGACTCCGCTAACCCAGAAATAGTACCTTGGGTTAAGAACTTTGCCCCAGGATGAGAACAGAAATCGCACGGCGGCAGCGGGAGGCCCCATTAGCTAAAGTGGTGCTTCAGGTTAAGAACAGTGTCAGGTTAAGAACGGACCTCTGGAACGAATTAAGTACGTAACCAGAGGTACCACTGTATTCATAAAAGATACCGGAGTGTTATCTTTCTTATGGTATCTTTCTTATGGCCAGAAACAGCAATGTTTCCAAGTACCAGTTGCTGGAATCCACAGGGGAAAGAAGATTGCTCTTTTGTTCAGCTCCCTGAAGCTAAGCATATTCCCACAGGCATCTGGTTGGGCACTGTGAGAACAGGACGCTGGACAAAATGAGCCACTGGCCTTATGTTCTGATACAACTATTGTACACAAAACAAAGGTTAAAAACAGAAATCCGCTAACACACACATCCGGTCTAAAATTACCTGACTTTCACTGGGATACCTAGGGTGCTTTATTGATTGAATCCTGCTATGAGTAGACCCATGGAAATCTATGCACTTCATCTACTCAGGATCGTTGCTTTCAGTGGGACTGCTCTGATTATGAATGGCATTGGAGGTCACCCATGGCTTGCCCCTTCCCCCTGCCTTTCTAGACCTCAGAGCTTCCCTGCAGGCAAGGCACTCTTCTTCTCACACAAATGATAACCATCACAAAAATAATAAGGCTACAAACCTTCCACTGTGTGCTGCTAGCCTCTGCATCCATGGTCGGAGGCCACAATGGTCCTGAATGCCAGTTGCTGGAAACCCCAGCAGGGGACAGTGGCATAGCATGGGTTGACAGCGACTGGGGCAAGGAGGCAGGTATTGCACCCCCTGACCTGTGAACCGTGTTCTGCGCTTGCCCCACAGAAGGTGCTAATAGGAGCGGCCAGGGGCCGCCTCTCCACCCCCCGAGAAACTGCCTCACAGGCAGGGCTGCTCTGCCTAATAGGCCTCACAGCCACCGCCCTCACAAACTGCAGTGCGCTCGCATGACCACCCTTTGTCCTTCCTGTGCATTTACCTGCATCTTTTGCCTTCACTTTGGCATTGCTTCAATGGGGGCTGCATGCAGTGGGGATGAGAGGGAGGGAAACGGATGGAGTACGCATGCGCATTCAACTGCGTAATGGCGTCCGCATCACCCAAGCGATCGCAACTGCAGAGATATGAAAAGAAGAGTCGTTCCATTTGTCACTTCCTGGTTCGCATGGAAAAGCCGTTTTCGACAGAGTCCGGCAATGGAAGCGCACAGCTGCACTGAGGCAACACGCAGTGTAGAAATTTTGTGCCCCTAAGAATTTTGTGTCCTGGGCAATAGCCCCTTTCCCACCCCACCCCCCATGCTATGCCACTGCAAGGGGAGAGTGCTCTAGTGCTCAGATCCTGCTTGCATGCTTCCCACAGACATCTGGTTGGCCGCTGTGAGAACAGGATGCTAGACTAGATGGGCAGCAGGCTCTTCTTATGTTCTTGAAAATTGAATTCTTATGAAAATTAGATATAAATATGCTGAAGATCAATAGGAATGGGTAGGTTCCCTAAGATGCACTGGGTCCTTTATTACTTGGGGAGGTTTTACTCTGACCTAGTCAAGAAAAAAAAAATACTTACTACAGGCGCCTCCAGACCTCCTATTTATTGAACCTTCATCCTCATTGTCTTGCGCAAAACTTATGCAGAGGTTAGATTGCACCTGGTCCCTATTGCGCACTCGTTCAAAATTGTTTGTGGGGAGGTTATATGAGAATGAACATTCTGCTTGGTTTACTTGCGGGGTGTTTATATGCCTTCGCGATAATCACTCACACATTCCGCAATTTTCAGTGCATTTCCCCCCATCCCTTTCCTATCCGGTATTCTGCAGACCTAGACTTCTCAGCATGTGTGTGGATCACTCTTGCAAAATACGGACAGTCTGGAGGCTTCTTCAAAAGCTCTCTGCACCCTGGTATGTGGTTCCAGCCACGAAACACGGCAATTCCTGCCCCCATTTTCTAGACGTTAGAATGGCGCTGTCGTTTGCAGAACCATCTTCTCCCTACCCCTCTGTTCCTGGTTTTTCTTTTTTTCATTGTCTTTTACTGCGTAAGCATTTCACAAAGGGCTAAAGCGCGCCAGTCACTTGGCATTGGAATGTCAGCTGTTTTAAAGAGAGCCTATTTACTACCCTTGCCATTTCATCCCAGACCTTTTTTCTCTCCCCCCCCCCTTTCCCTAGCCCCATTTTTCCCGTGATCTATAGCACACCGGGGCTTGCTTTCTTCCTAGACCTGTTTAGTTTCAATGTGTCTAGCCTGTGTGCGTATGAAGTGTGGCATTCTTGCCCTCCATCCTTTGATGGACCCCTTCCCCTCCACCAGCCCATATCAGATAAATCTCTCTTCCCCCAAGGCTCTTGTGCTTGGCCTTGCTGGTATTTTTCCTTTCCTGTTGAGCAACGTCCAGTGACTTCTCCTCCTCCTCCTCACAGTCACATCTTTTTACAATCCACATTTTACAATCCTCTTTGGTATATGGTTCTCCATCCCACTTGCCCGCCCGCCAGTTCCCGGCATCGGCATGAGGTCACGGTTGGCTCGTGGGTGTCACACGATGTCTTCAAAGATGCTTTTTGGAACTGGTTTCTCTTTGTGGATTAAGACAGCAGATGGAGCCTTATCGACATTCCACTGTGCGAATTGGCACGAGGGGGACAGGAAGAGCAACAGGCCCCTGTGATGGGTCTTGGGCGTGGCGGGGAACATCCAAAGGGAGATAATATGGAATTTGGCTGAGCTGGTGGTATAAATGAGTGTCAGAAGGGAGCTAAGAGTTGTGCCAGTGGGACAGAGGCAAGGTATGCGTCAGAGCCCGGAAGGGTACTGTTTTCTGGTGAGGTCCCATCCCAAACAGAAAGCCTTTTCTCTCGCTTCCTGTCTAGGAGTGTTTCAGGGACCAGCCAAAGAGAACTCTGCCAACCCAGAGCCCAAGAATACCCCACTGCTCTAAGCTACAATTCTGCAACTCCTCATGTGGGTGCAAGCTTCCTTATAGAGTCAGGCGATTGGGCCATCTGCCTCAGAATTGTCTACACAGATCAGCAGCAGCTCCTCAGGTTTTCAAGCCTGGGCAATACAGTTGTACCTTGGAAGTCGATCAGAATCCGTTCCAGAAATCCGTTCAACTTCCAGAACGTTTGACTTCCAAAATCCGGCTTCTGATTGGCTGCAGGAAGTGCCCATCGTGGTAAAGGTTTCATAATATTCAACATTATTATTATTATTATTATTAATATACCGCCTTATACCTGGAGGTCTCGGGGTGGTTCACAGAACAAGATCAACATAAAACACTACAGTATATATAATCAAAATAAAAGCAACAACCCAATAACCCCCCCCACACACACACACAAAAAGGAGGCACATTTTAAAGGGCATAGAATGTAAATCAGGTCAACCAAAGGCCTGGTTAAAAAGGAACATTTTTGCTTGGCACCTAAAGGTGTATAATGAAGCTGCCAGGCAAACTTCCCTGGGGAGAGCATTCCACAGACAGGGAGCCACTGCAGAGAAGGCCTGTTCTCGTGTTGCGACACCCCCCCCCCCAGACCTTTCAAGGAGGAGGCACATGAAGAAGGGCCTCAGAAGATGAACTCAGGGTCCGGGTAGGTTCATATGGTCCTGAGCGGTTTAAAGCTTTATAGGGGAAAACCAGCGCTTTGAACATGGCAATATATCACGAATCATGATGTATGCGTGTGTAAAAAAATTGTGATATGGGGGAAACCATGAAGCCAGTTACCTCTCCTCTCATTATTCCTTCTGCCCCTGTTGCTCTGTACTATAAAATAACATTTGTAACAATATGTTATAGGTAAGTAAAATTGTATCAGTTTTAGACCCCTAAGTAGCAGGTTCCGGGGCATTACCCCATTCACTTCTACATAGTTACACCCTTATTTCAGACATCGTGATATATTGATATATCATGATGTTTAGTTGTGGGTATATCCCAATGTTGAAGGCCATACATCGCTCCGCTCTAACAGACATCATGATAGATAATTTAAAACATAGCAAGGAGGTTGCATTCCCTCACCGCATCTCGAGTCGGCCATGGGAGAGGGTTAGGTCGGTGAGCAGAGGAAGAGGCTTTCAGGTCAGAGAGCGCTTTTCCAGGTACGCACACATTTCTTTCCCCCATCACCAACGCCTCTTGTTTTGGAAATTAGGAACCATTTCCCGAGACGTTTGTGGTCACTGGAGGCTCTGTGCCGAATCCAATTGTTTTGTTTGACTGGCAGTGGCTGGTGGCCAGAGGCAGCTGCTCCCCCTCTCCACCCCCGCAGCCAGAGGCCAACACGGAGGAATTGCACAACACAAACTTGATCTGTATTTTCCACTGTTTTTTGCCTGGCAAAACAGTCTTCCTCCTCCCCCTCCCCTTTCCCCCTTTTCTCCTCCGTACAGCTGTTTTCCATCTATGTTCAGGAAACATACATCTTTTTTCTTTCCTTTTTTTTTATAAAACCCCTCTCTCCCTCTGTTTTGTGCCTCTTGGGTCCCTCTTTATGAGAAAAATCTCATCCAGGATGTTGGGGGGTGGGGAGATTGGCGGGGTGCGGCGGGGGCAGTCTATGCCATGAGGAAGTAGCTGCGAAATAACTTTAGGTTCCTGGAGGCGATGATGCCAAGGGGCTGCCTCTATCCGCAAAGGCCCAGGTGAGCCAGAGGTCACAAAAGCTCCGGTGCAGAGCAACAGTCTGTTAGGATGCTGGAAGGCCGATGGCATGCAAGCGTCCACCTTCTCCCTGCTGTTTCCCCTCCAAGCTATCTTTCAACAGCATCCCATCTCGAGTGGAGCAAATGGTGTGCGTTTTCTCTCTCCTTCCCCTCTTCCCCCAAACTTTCCCAAGCTGTAAAACTCTGTGGGAAGGACAAGAGCTCAAGGCAAGACGTAAGCACTTGCGCTATCTGCAAAGGCCTCACCTATCTGGACTGCTTCCTCCTGAGAGGTGGTCAAGGCTGTGTAGGGATGTGTGTGTGTGAGTCTGTCAATGGAAGCTGGGTGTCAGAAGATTCAGGAGAGATAAAAGAAAGGACTTATTCACACAGAGCTGTAATAAACAAAATCTGCCCTTATTCCCTTATGGGGGACACAAGAGCCCTTATTGAGTCCGTTGTAGGTTCCTTATAGAGTCCATTGTAGGAGAAAATAACAGAGGCCAACCAGAGAATATTGAGAAGCAAAGCAGATAGTAAGCCTGATCTTTATTGAACTGTTGCAACAGGGTGCTCCCCTCACACGCAGCAGGAGGAGGAGGACCCAGAACCAAACTGTACCTGCCCTTACATAAAGGTAAAGGTAAAGGGACCCCTGACCATTAGGTCCAGTTGTGGCCGACTCTGGGGTTGCGGAGCTCATCTCGCTTTATTGGCCGAGGGAGCCGGTGTACAGCTTCCAGGTCATGTGGCCAGCATGACTAAACCGCTTCTGGCGAACCAGAGCGGCGCACAGAAACACCGTTTACCTTCCCGCCGGAGCGGTACCTATTTATCTACTTGCATTTTGACATGCTTTCGAACTGCTAGGTTGGCAGGAGCAGGGACCGAGTAATGGGAGCTCACCCCATGGTGGGGATTTAAACCGCCAACCTTCTGATCGGCAAGCCCTAGGCTCTGTGGTTTAACCCACAGTGCCACCCGCATCCCTTACTTGCCCTTACTTTAAAGTGCCTTCCCTGGAGCTCAAGACCACCCCCCACAAACATCATACCTACATCACAGAAAAGGTGGTCTGCAACAGAAATTTGAATGTTGTTGTTTTTCCTATCTGTCAGTTTATCGGATAATGCCTTATCTGATTGCGTTTCCTGGTAGTCTGGCCATTCCTTTGAGATGGTGATTTCCCAATTCCTGAGACAGCGGGAAGGTTCCCTCACCCCCTCCCTCCTTGCAGAGAAAACATTTGGTCAGTTTGGGATTCAAAATGGTTTCAAGACGGTCTTCCTGTGCTGCTCCAGACATGTGGTCCACATATCTATGTATGTGCTTGGTTGGTACATTTATGAACATTATATATATATATATATATATATATATGAATGACCTTAAATTTTTATTTCAGAGCATACCGTATTTTTCGCACTATAGGACGCACTTTTCCCTCCAAAAATGAAGGGGAAATGTGTGTGCGCCCTATGGTGCGAATGCAGAGCTCACTGAAGCCTGGAGAGCGAGTGTGGTCGGTGCGCACCGACCCCTCTCGCTCTCCAGGCTTCAGGAGAGCCCCAGCGCCAGCCCCACAAGGTCGGGGGACAGAGGGAGGCGGAACGCCGCCATCCCGCTGTCTCCCGAAGTGGTTTGGAGGCTGACGGCGGGGAGACCCCGCCGCCGGCCCCGCAAGCTCCGGGGACAGCTGGGAGACGCAGCACGTCTTCCCGCTGTCCCCGGACTTGATGTCAAGGTGGGCGGCAGGGAGAAGAGCGCTTCTCCCCGCTGCCTGTCCCCGGACCTGATCGCAAGGCGGGCGGCAGGGAGAAGAGCGCTTCTCCCCGCTGCCTGCCCCCAAGCTCCGGGGACAGCTGGGAGACGCAGCGCGTCTTCCCGCTGTCCCCGGACTTGATGTCAAGGTGGGCGGCAGGGAGAAGAGCGCTTCTCCCCGCTGCCTGTCCCCGGACCTGATCGCAAGGCGGGCGGCAGGGAGAAGAGCGCTTCTCCCCGCTGCCTGCCCCCAAGCTCCGGGGACAGCTGGGAGACGCAGCGCGTCTTCCCACTGTCCCCGGACTTGATGTCAAGGTGGGCGGCAGGGAGAAGAGCGCTTCTCCCCGCTGCCTGTCCCCGGACCTGATCGCAAGGCGGGCAGCAGGAGAAGAGCGCTTCTCCCGCTGCCTGCCCGCCAGCGCCGGGGCCAGGTGGGAGACGCAGGGCGTCTGCCCGCTGTCCCCGGACCTGATCGCAAGGCGGGCGGCAGGGAGAAGAGCGCTTCTCCCCGCTGCCTGCCCCAAGCTCCGGGGACAGCTGGGAGACGCAGCGCGCCTTCCCGCTGTCCCCGGACTTGATGTCAAGGTGGGCGGCAGGTAGAAGAGCGCTCTCCCGCTGCCTGCCCCTAGCTCCGGGGACAGCTGGGAGACGCAGCGCGTCTTCCCGCTGTCCCCGGACCTGATCTGAAGGCGGACTGCGGGGAGAAGAGCGCTTCTCCCGCTGCCGGCCCCACAAGCGCCTGGGGGGGAAATAAATTTTTTTTCTTTATTTCCCCCCCAAAAAACTTGATGCGTCCTATGGGCCGGTGCGTCCTATGGTGCGAAAAATACGGTAGTTAAACCACGGAACTCACTCCCACAAGAGGCAGAGACGGCCATGACAAATTCAGGGAGGAGAGGGCTGTCAAAGGCTACTAACCGTGATGCACAGTTGGACGCAGCAATGCTTCTGGATCCCAGTTGCTGGAAACCACACAAATCTGGGGTTAAATCCTGCTTGCTGGCTTCTCACAGTCATCTGGTTGGCCCCTGTGACAATAAAGATGCTGAACGAGACGGGCCATTGTTCTGCTCCACAAAAACGTTTGTCAGTATTTTAGTGTGGCTTTTTTTCCAAATAAACACATTTTTTGCATGTGGTTTTGACTGATCTGCACACTTTTGCAAGCGAATTTCAATATCTATTACTCCCTTCCCACATCCCCTATTCCCTCTCTTGGTACTGTGCCCACATACAAACTCCATAGCTTCATTATCAGACATTGCACCCCTACACCCTGTAGCCTGCTGCAATCCAGCTTGCTTTGTTTACTATGTTCTGGGTAGATTTAAAGCTCACACACTATTTTATGACATTTTGGTTGGCTTAAGGTGGATTTTGCCTATTCTTTTCTTACTGGACAACAAAACTGCTGTTTACTTTTTGAATAGTTTTATTGTCTGTCTCCAGTAAGATCAAAACAGACGCAGGGCACCCCACCCAGCTACAACAAAGTACAACGCCACCTAGTGACTATACCCTAGAATGACACTATCCACCCACCCATTCTGTAAAACAAGGCGATTTCCAAAGCTGGATCAACCTTTCGTGGGAGTCCTAGTATTGCTTCTGTGCATACTTTGGTGTGGCTAGCCATTCCTTCAAGCCTTTGTGATCTAGGGAAGTGGTGAAGAAATGTTCTTGAGCAATGAGGTGCATGGTAAAAGGAGATGTCTGCTTACTAGACACACCGCAAGTCGGTGGTGCCATCGAGATAAGACAGTAGGGATAGCTTACTTCAAAACATGGTTAATGAAGTAATACAGATTGTAATCTGAACACACACCCATGGCCCCCAAAGTCTGTTAAGGGATGGGCAAATATATCCATGTTAGTTTCTTTCAGTTTCTCACTTTTCTCGTCTGGTTCAGCTCTCCACATTTCCACGTCAGTTTGCAACCTTAAAGAGATAAGGCTGCTTGTGAAAACTCAGCAGTATTTTTGTGCGATGTCCATTCTCTGTACACATTTTATATGCAGTTTTGCCCAATATACACATTTATGCAAAAACAGCTTTCAGAAATGCAGTGGATCTTTGTATGTTATCTTCAATAATAAATGGACGTATCTGCATATTTTACCTTATTAAATGCATTTTTGTACCCATTACTTGGTTGGGGAACGGCACTGAAAAATTTGGAGGACAATTTTCAAAGGATGGATACGTTCTGATTTGTGTATCCCCCACCCCCCCGCCCCGGATGGTGCCAATGTGGTAAATTTGTCATCAAACATGAACAGAATTTAATTTCTTCCCCACCCCTAGTCCAGAGTTTAAAATTACCGGTACCTAACCACAATTGTTCACCACAACCTACTGGCCTCCATGTTTATGCCTATGAGAGTGAAAGAGGAGAGTGCAAAATATGGTCTGAAGCTCAACATCAAAAAAACGAAGATCATGGCCACTGGGCCCATCACCTCCTGGCAAATAGAAGGTGAAGAAATGGAGGCAGTGAGAGATTTTACTTTCTTGGGCTCCATGATCACTGTAGATGGTGACAGCAGTCACGAAATTAAAAGACGCCTGCTTCTTGGGAAAAAAGCAATGACAAACCTAGACAGCATCTTAAAAAGCAGAGACATCACCTTGCCAACAAAGGTCCGTATAGTTAAAGCTATGGTTTTCCCAGTAGTGATGTATGGAAGTGAGAGCTGGACCATAAAGAAGGCTGATTGCCGAAGAATGTATGCTTTTGAATTATGGTGTTGGAGGAGACTCTTGAGAGTCCCATGGACTGCAAGAAGATCAAACCTCTCCATTCTGAAGGAAATCAGCCCTGAGTGCTCACTGGAAGGGCAGATCATGAAGCTGAGACTCCAGTACTTTGGCCACCTCATGAGAAGAGAAGACTCCCTGGAAAAGACTCTGATGCTGGGAAAGATGGAGGGCACAAGGAAAAGGGGACGACAGGGGAAGAGATGGTTGGACAGTGTGGTCAAAGCTACCAGCATGAGTTTGACCAAACTGCAGGAGGCAGTGGAAGACAGGAGTGCCTGGCGTACTCTGGTCCATGGGGTCACGAAGAGTCGGACACGACTAAACGACTAAACAACAACAAACTAGGAACTGAGAACTTGTGACTTCAGCTGATGCTGGACTACAACTCCCTAGATCCCTGGCTGTTGGCTGTACAGGCTGAGTCTGATGGGAGTTGTATTCCAAAGCAGCTGGAGGGCTGGGGAAGGCTGCCTTACTGTCTCCAGGATACTGAGAAGATCATCAATCTGTCCCTCAAACCTGGCACCAGGTCTGACTTCTCTGCAGTTTCTTTGCCTTGAAAAATGATGAAGGAAGATGCTATGTCCACACGATACACTCAAGAGTCTTTCGATGTGCATTTAAAGCACATGTCTTCTCCCTCCCCTCGCAAAGGATCCTGGGAGCTGTCGTTTGTGAAGGGCTCTGGGAACTGCGGCTCCAGTTCTCATGATTCTTTGGGGAGTGCAAGGAAATGTTCTTCAAATATACGGTGTGGATGCAACCCCAGTCGATACCCTCGCCTCTTCCCTTCCCTCGAAGGAAGTCGGGCATTGTTGCTAAACCTCTCCATTGACGGAGAAGAGCTTTTGAACGTTGGAGCAAGACCCAAGGCTCGTTTCTTCACAGGAGTGGATGTGGCTTTTGGGAGGCCGTGAAGGGGTAGCAAAAACAGGATGCTTCCTCCTGGAGCATTATGCTGGATGAAACACGGGCTCCCTCGCCTCCGGAAAACCAGCCAGGGTGGAAACATGACAGATTACTTAATTCTTGTTTCATGCTTTGATGGAAGGAGAGACGTTTCCTAATGCACCCTCCAGGGGGATCTCACCTAACCCGGAGGGAAATAAATGCAAACATTGCTCATTTGCGCACCTGTGTTTTGTTTGGGTTTTTCATTTCAGTGCGTTTAGAAATACCCATTGGACTGGGCTGCAAACAGTGCTCAAACAGTGCTCAACCCAGCTGGACCTGCAAGCAAAGATTGTAGTGCAGACTGCTTCTGTTCTGGGATTCTAACCAACTCTGCCATTTCCTAGGAAACTCCATTCCAGCCCCTGCCCTCCCGCAATTATCAGAGTGCTGTTTTGGGGGGACAGGAGGTGGGCAGGTGTGGAGGATTCTCTGATCCTGAATGGGGTAACTGTGCCTCTGAAGGACCAGGTGAGCCTCTGAAAGACTCACAGCTGTCCATGGAGGCACAGGTCAAATCTGTGTCCAGGGCAGCTGTTTACCAGCTCCATCTGGTACGTAGGCTGAGACCCTATTTGCCTGCGGACTGCCTCACCAGAGTGGTGCATGCTCTGGTTATCTCCCGCTTGGACTACTGCAATGCGCTCTACGTGGGGCTACCTTTGAAGGTGACCCGGAAACTACAACTAATCCAGAATGCGGCAGCTAGACTAGTGACTGGGAGTGGCCGCCGAGACCATATAACACCAGTCCT